CGGAAAGAGACATACACGTTTAGATAAGGTGTCTGTTTTGACTTAATTGTTACAAAGAAAGGCTTTTATTTGTGTGTGTGTGAGGTCTCAAATTGTAAGCATATTGACAGGCTAAAGGTGAGAGAGAGAGAGAGAGAGAGAGAGAGAGAGAGAGAGAGAGAGAGAGAGAGAGAGAGAGAGAGAGAGAGAGAGAGGGAGAGGGAGAGAGAGAGAGAGAGAGAGAGAGAGAGAGAGAGAGAGAGAGAGAGAGAGAGAGAGAGAGAGAGAGAGAGGAAGGAAGGAAGAGGAAGGAAGAAAGAGAAAGGAAGGAAAGGAAGAGAGAGTGAGGGACTGAAGGAAGGTATGAAGGAATGAAGGAACAAAGGAATGGAAGGAAAGAAGGAAAGGAAGAAAGGAATGAAGGAAGGATTATCAACGAAACATTTAAAAATGCAGAAAAGAGCAGAAGGAAGGTCAGAAGAGTATACAGAGGAGAGGCAAATTTGATACTACCATGTTACTACCATGTAACACTTCTTTAGCTAACCTTTTCTGTTGTGATTATAAATATTGTTACTGTATCTTTAAAAATCAGGTGGAATGTTACAGAAAAGACAACTTGGAGGGTGTATTGCAACTCTTGCTATGAGCCCCTCTCCCTAGTGAAACAAAGCATGTTGCAATTAATTTTAATCTATGTGCTTTCTATAGAGAAAACAGAGAAAGAAGGTGAGAAGAAACACCTTTGTTTATAAAACTTTATTGACTGAGCTTATAGATATGAAACAAGTTAAAGAAAATTCTGTGAAGATTTAAGAGGAGCTGGCAGTGCATTCTAGATAGTTACCCATGGTGATCGAAGAGAGGATAATGCAAAAGGACTCACATGACATTTTCTGAGAGACTGAATTTAACTTCTATCTTATGAAAAAATATGAAAAAAATTCTTGAGAGACTTTGGATAGTATCTGGAGGGACCTGTCTGGTAAAATTGTTTCCAGAAGTGAAGAAAAATAATTTGCTGTCAAATGAAGGTTTTATGTGACTATAATGATATTTCTCATCACCAAAATACTGTGTATAATTATATTTGTTTTATTATTGATCATATTCATCAACAAATTGTATATTCAGTAAATTCATTGTTCAATTAAACAAAGAAGACTAAGGGTTTTGATATAGAAATATAAATATTTACATTGGAAAAGAAAATTCTCAAATTTTAAATGATATTTAATTATCTGGAGTGGTGTTCAAACCAATTGATTAATTAGGAAGAGATTATACTTTTTATTCATTATAAAGAAAATAGGAAAATGCCCTTAGATTATCTAGAGTTAGAGATAATAAGATTATATATAGGAACAAGTTGTAGGGTGACCTACAAGTATGGCCAACCTTAGGTTTTTCTTGTTCAGTTGTTTCAGTTATATGCAATTCTTCATGACCCCATTTGGTTTTATCAGCAAATGTACTAGAGTGGTTTGCCATTTTACAGATAGGGAAAATAGGGCTAAGGGACTTGCTAAGGGTCACCCAGCTACTAAGTGTCTGAGGCCAGATTTGAAGTCTTCCTGACCCCAAGCCCAGCATTCTATCCACTATGTCGTGTAGCTGCCCTAGGTTTACCTAACTACATATTCTGTTAAAAAAAAAAACTAATTCATACACAAGAGAGATTTACAGTTTCATGTACAAGCCTCTTTTTCTATTCTTTCTGTAGGGAAATATCTGTTGACAATTGTTCAAATTAGTCTTTTTTTAAAATTAAGATTTTAAGAAAGATTCCTGTTTATCCACTCCTTCCCCAGCTACAGAAAGATGACAGAAAAAATGTTACTTTGGCCACTTCCAAATCACCTGTGGCCTATTCTCTTCACTCTCTAGAGAAGTGCTCTTGCTGCTACAACATGAAAAATTGCTGTGGCTCATAAGGCTGGGGTGAACACCATATGAATATTGTATTCTTTGCTTCAGGTTTGCAGTTCTCTTAGTACACTTTATGGGGTTAAATGAGTGATTAGTCTTATGGAATTTTTCATGTGGGAGACACTGTTTCTATTGCTATTTATTTTGATAAATATTTTGTTAGAATTTTTTTGTTAGAATTATATTATAAAAATTATATAAACATTACAAAAATATCTTGTTAGAACTATGACTTTCTCAATGTGGATATATCTTCCAATGATGTAGATGACAAGCCATTTACACCTTCCTTTTCTGTTGTACTCTTTCAATTATGTATCATAGGATCATATCTGTAGAACTGGAAGAGAGATTAAAAATAGCTGATCTAGTCCAGTGGTGTCAAATTCAGATCAAAAAAGGGCCATTAAACACTACACAGGCATCCCTGTAGGCCAATATTGATTTAGAAAACTGCATGTTAACATTATCTATATTTTATTGTATTTTTATATATTTTGTCAGGCATTTACCAATTAAATTTAAATCCACTTTGGAGTTTTGCAGGCCACATGCATCCCCCCACTGTGTGTTTGACAGCTCTGGGCTAGTCCAACCCCTTCATTTTACAGATAAGGAAACTGAGGCTGGGGGAGGGTAAATGACTTATCCAAGGTCCTCTGGCAATTATCAGAGAAGCAGGCTTCAAAACCAGATTTGTCAGACCCCAAGTTCTGGACTCTGTCTGCTGCACTGTGCTACCTTTTTCTATTCACACTCTTATTCAGGTGATGCCGTGGGGCCGAGAGTCATCAATCATCAAAAAAGGGCACAAAAAGGGCAGTGGAAAGTCACAGGATATGTGTGAACAGGCTTCCTATATTACTAACAAAGAATTAGAGAATGAAGCATAAAATATATCATTGAGGATTTGATTCTTGGAAAAGTTTGGCCAGTCATGTATCCAAAGCAAGGAATGACTGACATTCTAAATCTTCTAACCTCTGTTTCTTTAATGTCAAGAGATCTAAAGAAAACCCCCTGGTGACCTGGATAGAAAAGTTATGGAAACTCTAAATATAGTCAGTTAATTTCAGCATTTTTTGTTTTGTAGGCAATTGGGGTTAAGTGACTTGCCCAGGGTCACACAGCTAGTGTCAAGTGTTTGGTCTGAGACCAAATTTGAACTCTGGTCCTCCTGACTTCAGGACCGGTGCTCTATCCACTACACCATTTAGCTACCCCCAATTTCAGCTTTTTTAAACAAATGCCAGAGACCTGTTTAAAAAGGTTGCCTTGAATCCTTAATAGGAGATTGCTCTATGGTATAGATAGCATAAAGGACATGCATGCTAGATTAATACTTAAGGACAAAGTAGTTTCTGGTCAAAGTCCAAGCCTCATGTTGGTTCTTAAGGGCTATACTGGTTAAACACAAATTCTGAAAAGTCAGAAAAAAACCAGCTGGAAAGGCTTTGTGCACAAACTCATGAAGGAGAAAATATTTCTGAGTGCCAGTCTAGCTAAGCATTTAGAAAGGTTCATCCTCAGAAAGCTGGCCTCACAGTGATGAGTTGTTCAAACATACCAACTCACTAAGCCACGAAGCCATAGAAGCTCCAGGAGGGCAGGGACAGCTTCATTTTTTTCTTTGGCTGGAGACAGCAAGGTGGTAAAGTGGATTGACTATTGGTCCTAGAGTCAGTAAGATCTGAGTTCAAGTCAGCAGCACCTACCTCCCAGGATAAATGCTTAGCACAGTGCCTGGTACATTATAGACACTATGTTGTTGTTCAGTCATTTCAATTGTGTCTGACTCTTTGTGACCTCATTTGGAGTTTTCTTGGCAAAGGTAATGGAGTGGTTTGCTATTTCTTTCTCCAGCTCATTTTACAGATCAGGAAACTGAGACAAACAGGGCAAAGTGACTTGCCCAGGTCACACATCTAGTTCTGAGATTAGATTTGAACTCAGGTCTTCCTGATTCCAGACCTAGTGATCTAACCACTGCACCACTTAACTGCCTTATAGACACTACATAGATACTTATTTCCTTCCTTCTCTTCCTGTGTGGCCCCAGTACCTATGGTAGTGCCTGACACATAATAAGCACTAAATAAGTCCCTGTTGGTTGTCAGGAGAGAGACTAGGGGTGAAAAACCAAACATAACTACAAAGAGATGTGTACTTTCATTTAAAAAAAAATAACACCTCAGTCCTCTACATCTAGGGTTTCAATGTGGGAGATGGATGAGCATTATGGGGAGGAACAATGTCCTAAATCCTGATAGCTGTTCCTCCTATGCTTTCCTTTCTCCAAATCAGCACTTTTACTTCCTCTCGGGCACGAGGGAATGCTAAACCTAAAATGGTAAAGGAACAAAGTAAGGGCCTGCAATTTCTAAGCTCTGCAAAAGGTTATAACTATTTGAATGTGTATTCCCATCATTTAGAACATATGGGGAGGCACTACAAGACTGGGTCTTAAGATCATTTTTTTTAATGTCACAAACTCCAAAACCCCACCATCTAAAACTCCACCATCACTGAATAGTCTGTCTTAAAATATTGGGGCATTAACCCAAAGGGCGAACTGTATAATGGAAAAACTGGAAGAGAGCTTTCTAAATGAAGTTTAATTAAAAGTACCTTGGTTCAAGAGTTTTGGTTCTTCGCATAAAATAAAGAGAATGTTCAAGATCATTAATTAGAACAAAGAAAATTTTAGAAATATCTTTTAAAAAAGAAAAATTTTAGAAATGTTAGAAAATGTACAAAAAGTTCTCTATGGCTGTTGGGCCTTTTCCTTTTTCCTTATGTCCCTTATATATCCACTAGTTTCCTAGTTTCTCCTGTTTGCTTCAGCTTGCCCTCAATTTCAGGTCTGCTTGCCTCGTCCTTTCTTCCTTCTGATTGGCTTCCTTTCATCGTCTAAGACCTTCCTCTAGGGTTTTATTCAGATTATCTAGAAGGATAGTAGAAAGGATTTCCTGGTCAGGAATAAATACAGTTATCCACATAGACCAAAAACCTGACTAGCTATTGCTATGAAATGTTCTTTCTAAAACATTCCAAATGTTCAAAAATGGAAAATTAAGTGAACAACTGATGGACCAAAGTTGAGGCCAGAATTTTAAATCTGGGGGTGAAAGGCAACAGTTAACACGTAACTTTGTGGTCAAAGGTTGTTTCTGCATGCAGTGCAATATGAAAAAAAAATATTAAAAGATTTAGAACAATGGCTTCAATCCATACGTCTGGTGTGCTCACTTAAAACGATAAAACACACATCTATGTGCTCATGAGTGTCTTAAATCTGAAGAAGCTATTGAAACCTAAAAATAGATACCGCAAAACACCAATATTTATTTAAAATAAAATTCAAGTATTCTTATTCTGCTCTTAGTCTGTGGGAAAGGACAAAATTGGCAAGCTGAAGAGCTCGGTCTTGGCTCACCTAATTAAAATATAAAGGCTAACTTGCCTTGTGATCACTGGCTTTCGCCCTTGAACACAGAAATGAGATCACAGATTTTCACGAAGTAAAGGAGAGGCGGCTGGGGCTGCTGCTGCCTCTATCTCTCCCTTGCTCGAGCCTGAGTCCTGCATTACATCACTGGCGGCCAGCTCCCGCTGGGGTGGGAAGAGGAAGCGTCAAGGAGCGATTCCTAGACTGATTAGGATAAAGAAGGAAGAAGAAAAGGCAGGAGCAGGTTCGCGAAACTGGGAAGGGTGTGCCAGAGAGGAAAATAGGTAGCCCCTTCCCTTGTGCCACTGGAGGGCTTATTCCTCCCGCCCTCCAACCCCCCCCCCCAAACAAAACCCAAACAACCCCTAACCACCCGAGAGATGCATTAGGAAGGAGGGGTCACGAAAGGAAAGGGGGGGACGGCGAAGAGGTACATATCTCCCCCCCCCTCCAGCGGTGCATCCACAGACAGGCGACAGCAGCCAAGGGGAGAGATTTTTTGTTGTTGTTGTTTTTTATTTTTTTTTAAGTGGGGCGGGGGGGGGGGAGAATCTCTTCTGTACCAGGAGGCACATCAGCCGGCGGTGCTGGAGGAACGAAGAGGAGGGGGAGGAAGGATCTCTCACCTTCCCCCAGATGAGAAGATCATGCCATGGCAGAATTGGCGACGACGGCCAGCAGCAGCATCAGGGGCGGCGACGAGAGGCACGGGAGCAGCAGCAGCAGCAGCAGTAGTAGCAATAGCAGCAACAACCCTGCAGCAGGGGCGGCGGCGGCGGTAGCGGAGGGAGAAGGAGGCGATGGGAAAGAAAGAGGAGAAAAAAAAGGGGGAGAAGGGGCAGCGGCGGCTGTGAACTCCCAGGACGAGGACTACGAGTGTAAGATCTGCTACAACTATTTCGACTTGGACCGGCGGGCTCCCAAGCTTCTGGAATGCCTGCACACCTTCTGCCAGGAGTGCCTGAGCCAGCTGCAAGTACGCGGGGCTGCCCAGCAGGAGCGGGAGCGGGAGCAGCAACAGCAGCAGCAACGGCCACCCCCCGCCCCTCCGCCTTGGCGCCCCGGGCCATCGGAGGCTGCCGAAGCGGGGGCTGGGCCCGCCAGCCCCGGTCCTAGCTCCTCGGGCCTCGGGGGCATTGCCTGCCCGGTGTGCCGCCACCGCACTGCCCTGCCCGACAGCCGCGTGCACAACCTGCCCAGCAACACCAAGTTCGCCGAGGCCTTTCCGCTCTACCTGCGCGCTGCGCAGGATCCGCTTCCCCAGGACAGCCTCCCACCGCTGCCACTGCCCCCGGCCCGGCGCCCTGGAGGCGCCGAACTGCATCAGCCCCCGCACGACCACCCTCACAGCCACCACCACCATCCCCACCCGCCCCCACCTCTCCGACAGCGGGAGGAGCCGGCCGGCGGGGCGGCCTCAGCTCCGGAGTCCGCTCCGGCCCCGGCCCGGGCCCCGGTGCCCCTCGGCCGCGGTGGCCTTGGCTCCTCTGCGGGGCCCTCGGGAGGAGGCGGATACGAGAGCTGCCAGAACTGCAAGCGGGCGGCACTGACAGCGGGCTGCGTGTGCGTGGTCTTCTCCTTCCTTTCCATGGTGGTGCTGCTCTTCACCGGCCTCATCTTCGTGAACCACTACGGCGGGGGCGGAGGCGGGGGTGGCGTGCCCGGGACAGCACCTGGCACCACACCGGGCGGCTCGCCGTCCCCGTCGCCCGTGGGGCCCATCTGCCTCTCGGTGGCCAGCATTCTGGCTTTGTTCTCCGTCGTCGTCACTTGGGTCATCTGCTGGCTCAAGTACCGGCCCGAAGGGGCGGCCGGGGGCTCAGCTGCAGCCACTTCGGCTGGGGGCGGGGGCAGCGGCGGAGCTGGGGGAGGAGGAGGAGGAGGAGGTGGTGGAGGAGGAGGAGGAAGCGGTGTACCCCGGGGCCGGGCTGCGGCCACTGCTGGTAGCCGGAGGAACAACACGTAACTAACCAGCTGCTCGCTTCTTCGACCCTCGGCATAGTCCTATGGGTGTCTGGAAACCCCTACCCAGTCCTTCCAGCCGTTCCCCAAAGGTTCAGGAGAAACGTGGTTTCCCACCTCCTCCTGTCACTTCCCTCATCTTTCCATCTCCTCTGAAGTAAGTCCACTGTCAGGGTGGGCTATGCTGGCATGCATACCCCCTCCCCTTCTTTTTACTTCCACTCTCCTCCCCTTCTGTTTACCGTCCTCAGCCCATCTGGTGTTATTTACATCAATTCTACTCCGGGTGCCCCGCTACCCTACAATCCTTTTGAATGGGAAACTGATAAAAGAATGAAGAGCAGAATGGCAGAGAACAAGGATGCCTTTGGGAAATACTCCCCTAGACTGTGTAAAAGGAACCCAGGCAAACAAGAATCCACTGCCTACCCCATACACATAGATACACAAGTGCACGCACGAAGTCCTTCCGCACTTCCTTTCTGGTATCAGAGGAGTTAGAAAGAGGGAAGGGAAGTGACGCCCTTCAGGGCCATTTTTTCCAGCTTCTGTGGATATATGTGTATGTGGGTGAGCGGGGGTGGTGGTGCTCCAATCGAAAGGATAGAGGAGTGAATGAGGAAAAAGTCCAGGAAAAAAATGGTGAAAGTCAGACCTCTCTGCTCCTGATCCTACTGGAATGTGAGCGTGCCTACGCAAAGTATGTGATTTATAAGGCACTGGGATGTGGGAAATGAGATTGTAGCTGGGCCAGGTAATCTCCGTACTTTCTCAGGGGCTCGGACCAGGCACAGTGATTGGGTAGCTGGGCAGTGCCCGCGCACTTACATAGGATTGTCCAAGAAAGGCAACGTACACGCCTAGTGGCCACTCATAGAAAACTAAGAGTTTCCTCGCTGCAACTCATTCGCTTCTGGAGAGCAGTGGGGAGTGAGGTCCACGACTATGCAAGTAGTTGGTATTGATGTTACTTATGTGGGTACAATTATTTCAGCTACTGTAAGTGGACTTAAGAAGCCTAAAGTACTCCTCACACTGGACCACAGCAGCTTCCTTTTGCCCCTACCTGGAAGATAATCAGACATATGAAAGCAGAATATGATTAGTGTTTCATACACAGCTCCTACCCACTTTTCCTATTTAAGATTTTAAAGAATTATTTTAAAGATATGGATATGGAAGCTGTTTTATGTATTGAGTTTCTCAAAAGTGGGTCGATAAGTAATGATTCCTCTTCATTCCCCATATTCCTAACCTAACCAAACCAATATTTTGGTGGCAAAAAAAAAAGAAACTTAGTCAAAATGTTATACTGGAAAATAGACTTCCAGATCATAATAATTAATTCAGTTACATAATAAAAGTAGGACCTTGCACAGTGCCAATATTCAAATGGTACTATTTTCCATTACTATGACCATTTTTCCCCTTAATTATCAAGAGTCTTATTATAAGACACTGTTTTGTTTTTGGCTGGTTGATACTTTTGTTGTAATTAGTGATAAACTTCATATATGAAGAGGGAGAATAAGAGCAAAAAGGTTTGCACATATTCCTGGTTTTATAACAACTTACCAAGATTAATTCCTAGTGTATGGGGGGAGGAAGGGGCTGAGGTACCTTGGAACCTGGAAGTCCTTTAAAAAAAAAAGGCAAAAAATGAAGGAACAATTAATCATTATAACACATATTATACAGGAAAAGATTATTTATTCCATGTTTCAGTATTTTGGAATGAGATGAGTTTTACTGCCTAACAATCAGAAGCTACAGAAGGTAGTATGTTATTCTTTATGTATTTATGCAAGCTGTCTGCATGATATCCTGACCAGTATTCTATTAACAGACTTTTGAACATTGATATTTATCATAAGGCTGCAATAATATAATGACTATGTAGGAGGGGAGGACAGCAATCGAAGACAGAGTAAAAATGTATTTAATGACACAGGCTGTGTGCTTTGTCCAGATTATCAACACCCTATAAAATATATTTATACAAAGATTCATTTTAATGAAACCTATTTGTTGGAAATGTTGCTCAAAGCTCTTAGTATGGCACTTATGTACCCAGAAAAGTTCATATCCATTTTCTAATCTAATAGTTCATATGTTATCAAAAGGGAAACAGTTCGCAGATATTATAGTAGGCATTTTGTAGAATTTCTTTCTAATTCTTAGGAAGAAAATTGACAAACAGTTTGGTTCTATTTAATTCTTATATTGAAGTTCAGCTCACTTATTTACCATCCATAAATTCAATATCTTGAATATAGTCATGTGAGCTCTGTTTATCCCTAGGTTCTTTGTTTCTTCTAAATACTTACTTAGAAGCCTAAATTTCATAGACTTTCCCCCCCCATTGTTTGTACATAAAATTATGTGACAATACGTCTGTATTTAATTACATTTTGTTCTTTTATTTATTTATACTTATACCATTATTGCTTAGATCCTGGGTGCATTTATATCTGTTTATATATTCATGTTCATCCATACCTGAATTTACTTTTATGTAGCTTTACACATATGTAAGGACATATGTGTATGTAAACACACTAGAAAAGTTTATCCTAATTATCCCACTTCCTTAAACCAACAACCTAGAGGTCTATCAAAACCTATTCTTAGACTGACTTCCTGGTTCTTCATTTATACCTATTGCATCTCATCAAGCTGGATTTATGTCAGACTGAATGTAGGCTAATGAGGCTAAAACAGGTTATTTAAAAAATAGTATACATATATGTTCTAAGGAATCTTAGTCTACATGGCTCTTTATTACATATAATTTTTATTGCATCATGATCTGAAAAGGATGCATTTAATATTTCTGCCTTTCTACATTGGATTGTGAAGTTTTTATACCCTAGTACATGGTCAATTTTTGTATATGTGCCATGTACCACTGAGAAAAAAAAGTATATTCCTTTCTATCCCCATTCAGTTTTCTCCAGAGGTCTATCATATCTAACTTTTCTAAAATTGTATTCACCTCCTTAACTTTTTTCTTGTTTATTTTGTGGTTAAATTTATCTAGTTCAGAGAGAGGGAGGTTGAGGTCCCCCACTAGTATGGTTTTGTTGTCTATTTCTTCCTGTAACTCCCTGAACTTCTCCTCTAAGAATTTGGATGCCATACCACTTGGTGCATCCAATGAATCTTAAAAATGGCTTTACATAAATTTAGCAATATTTGATTTCTTTCACGAACTGACCAGGACTCATACATTTCATGTAATGGGAAATTTTAGTTCAAATCTTTAATAAGATTAAATGCCCAAATTCAATAGATTAGTATCCCCCACATTCTAGAAGACATTGGATCTAGCTCTCCTTGCTTGATTAGTGAGACACTAATTTCTAATTATCCTTCAGTAGCAGGATGATGTGATAAAGAACACTCACTTTTATTTCCTGTTAGTTCTGCAGTACTTGGGGGTCCTTCTGGTCAGAAGAATGTTGTAATATATGCTGATTAATTACAGACCCCTGTGAGGCCACTATAACTTAGATTGTCACTGAACTATAACTCGCAAGTGACCCAGTGCCTAATACAGTGCCTTGCTATTGTAGGAATTCAATAAACAGTTATTTAAGGAGTGAATGGTGCGGAGGATTCCAAGTGAATTTGAATTGATTTTCTTCCTTTCTTTTGGAGAAAGGATCTACCTGGAAAGAATCTTCAGGAATCCAGTTGAATTCTGGATCCCTTCATAGCAATTGAGTCAGCACTTCTAGTAAGGCCTTGGAAATAAGCTCAGATTCATACCTCCTTGACAGCTCCAAAATTCCCTTGTGACCTTGGGAATGGCCAGGAATCAGAGGTTTCAAGTTAGTGAGGCAGTATGTACTGAATCAGTCTGGACTTTGCCTGAACAAAAATCACCAGGCTGTATTGAACACACCATATAGGAAGTTGGTATAACATATAGAAAAGAGCATTTGCCCAGATGTTAGATGACTTAGATTTTTGTTCTGACTTTGCCTCTATCTAATCTTGTGACCCTGAGCAAGTAACTTAAACACTCTGCCTCAATTTTCTCATTTTTAAATGAAGAAAATAAGTACTAGCTTGTCCCTACCTCAGAAGGATGTTAAAGGTTTACATAGGAAAATAACTATGGAGAGCCCTTTGGGTTTTTTTTAAAAGAGAGGCACAATAAAAACCAAAGGTTATTGCATTACATAGAAGGACAGGAGTCACTATAAAGAACAAAATGGACCTTTCCATTTCTTTGTTTCAGACAAAGGAATTTCAAGAAGTTAATAATTTCAGCACTTTGTTTCTAAGAACCACTGGACTTGAGACACCCCAATTTAATATAGTACTTGTCTAGTTGTTATTTTGTGTCACATACAATATTTCTGGACATATACCAACATTTATTGTTAGAAATTTCATTAGATTTCCTCTCTCAATCACTACCATTTCCACTTCATTATCTAATGATGAAGCTGTTTGCACTACACTATTAACTTCATAATACATGGAAAGAAGGATTTAGGGTTTGGAAGGTACTTTAAAGATCAATTTGCATGAACAAATGCATCTGATACTTGGTTCTTACTCATATATTCTACATAATTTTGTTCTCTTAATATATGTTTACATTTTAAATTTCCTATATCATCTAAAGACAGTTCAGCTCATATCATTTGACATAGCAATATATCCTCTGATGAATGTGCATTAATAGTGTGTCTTTGAAACCAAGGGGTTTTTTTTTTATTTTTTTAAGGATATGTTCTTTTTCCAAGAGACACATGTAGCAAAGTAACCCTAAAGTTAATTTTAGGTTTGGGCCTAAAATATGTTAGGGTAAATACTTGTGCATCCTTCTGATGTCATAATAATAATTTTCTTCTAAGTAACACATGAATATCTAAAGATCACATTGCTTGATCACAGAGATGCTTGAATTATGAAAATTTTCCTCCTCATGATTACTCCTTAAATGACCCAAAGAGAAACTCATTCATTTCTGTTGTTGTTTAGTCTTGTCCAACTCTTTGTGATCCCAAAGACCTCTGTCCTTGAGGTTTTCTTGGCAAAGTTACTGGAGTGGTTTGCCATTTCCTTCTCCAATGGAAAACAGAGGTTAAGTGACTTGCCCAAGATCATGTAGCTAGGAAGTTTCTGAGTCTGGATTTGAACTCAAGTCTTCCTGATTCCAAGCCCAGAGCTCTATCACCTCAATTGCCATCTCATTAATAATCATTTCAGCCTAGAAAAAAACGATAATACAAATTCCAAGAATATTCCTCAGAGAAGAGGAGCTGTGTCCATAAATCTTTTAGAACTTGGCTGTTATTACAAATAAAGTTTGATTATCTAATGTTTTGAGGTGGAGGTGGAGGAGGGAAATGCTATGGATTTTGGAACTACAGGTTGAAATAGATGATAGAGAGCAAAAGAGAGGCAGTGGTGGGGAATATGAAAAAGGAGGGCATGTAGAAAACATTCTGGCTGCTTGTTTCATCATTTATGCAAATTTCAACTGTCCTATTTCATAAAATTTGCAAGCAAGCTGCCAAATACAAAAAAAATAGGCAGCATTTGATCCACTTAGAAAAGGGGAAAAAACTCTTTGGTCTCAACAACTATGAGCATAAGAATTTCATTCATCACAGTATGTGCTTTCTTAATAAATTTATCTTTTTGCCTTCTGGCCACAATGAATAGTTTCCATTTCATGTGAAGTATAAATAACTAGTTTAAACTCACAAATATAAGTATATATTTTAAAGTACTGTTGAGTAAAATTTAAGTAATAGAAAATCTAAAGACAGAACCCAAAATATGAGATACTGGAGTCTCTTTGAGCACAACCAATCTCTACCACCACCACCACAAGGCCAAGGCAAAATCTCTGCTGAGGAAATGAAGCATTTGTATATTTCTAGTTTTTATTGAACACTTACATAGAAGACTACTTTCTATAAAGTTAGCCTTAAACATTTTCCAGACTGAAGATTCATTCCTTTTTGTTCAGTGGTGACCCCTGGAGTGTCTCCTTATTCTTACAGAACCTGGTTAAATGTGATAAGCTTTCTTAAGAAACTGAGTGAAGGATTTCAGTGAGAACTCTGCATTTGTTTGGTTCACTTTGTTTAAATTGGCACAGTATGGCTAAATGAAGACCTAATGTATCAACAGTATTAAATATTTGACCAAACATTATAATAAAAGGCATTGATTTTGTCTCCTAATTAAAAAAGTGCACAATATTTCTGAAGAATGAGTCTAGTGCTGTTTCTTTGAGAAATGGTTGCTTGGGGATTTCATTCCTTTTTTTTTTTTTCAAGGCAATTGGGGTTAAGCAACTTGTCCAGAGCCACACAGCTAGTACGTGATATGTCTGAGGCTGGATTTGAACTTAGGTCCTCCTGAATCCAGGGCCGGTGCTCTATCCACTGAGCCACCTAGCTGCCCTGGGGATTTCATTCTTAATGTCTTGTCAGATTAGCATTTATATCTCTTTGTGATAGAGTGAAAGAGTTCTAGATTTGGAGTCGGGGGACCTAGATTAAAATCACCCCTTCCAGTTTTATATCTATGATCTTTAAAAAGTTAATTTACTGCTTATCTGATCCCTGCCCAAATACGTGGTTTCTAGATGCCTTGTTCATCCCCTTGACAAGGTACTCAGTGATCTTACATTTCTCTTTGTTCCTATTCACAACTAACTCTGTGACATGCTTGTGTTTGCATATATACATTTAACAATATAATTAGTCAACATATTAAAAATATGTGTTCTCCATGAAGGTATTAAATTATCTTTACAAGTTCCCCTCCCCCCTCACAACCCTGCCTTAACAATTAATTACATGCTATTTGTTCTAGGTATAAAGAGATTTACACTCAGTCGTGTCTGCTGGAAATCCATGGAGGATTTCATTAGCATGGAAGTGATTGCTTTCTATTTTGATTCCTAAATCCTTTTCTACCTTCTTAAATGAACTCAGAAGGAAGTGTGTCTTTATATGTTGCAGGTATTGTAAAACAAACAGGGATGACAGAATGAGAAGGGGAGAAGAATGGAAGGGGAAGGGAGAGAGAATACAACATACTCCTAAATCAGGAAGGCAGTCTATAAGAGCAGCTTTCCCTCAACTAGGGCTCCAGAATTTAGTGGCTTGGAAATCAAAGGGCTGGGGAGACACCCCAACCCTATCTACCCTCTGTCATGGGTCCAAATCTAATCCTAGATTCCCAGGGATCCTTCACATGGGAAAGGAGCTAGCTTAGCAATCCCCCTGAGCCTCTCACAGTAGATAGAAAAGCATCAAACTAGATTGCAAAATTTTATTTTCTCCAAGATTCGTAGACATCAGATTAGGTCACCAGGGGTGGGGAACCTGGCCTCTAGGTCCTCAAGTGTGGCCCTTTGACTTCACAGAACAGGTGGGCTCGAGGCCACAGGTTCCCTGCCCCTGGTTCTCACCTAGTCTAGTGAAGCCAGTGGTCCCCAAAGGTCATAATTTTAAAAAGATAATTGAAGGTAATTGTAATTTTAGTTAGAAGTTAGTTCAAATAAAAATGTAAGTTTTTTCCCCCATCCAAGTTTATGAATCCCTGGAAATCTATCCATGAGCCTCTTCAGAGTCCATGAACTCCAGACTGACTCCTTGAACTGAACCTTAGAGATTTTTTGGTCCAACCATTTAATCAATCATTCAGTCAATCAATAATTATTTATCAGGTTCTCATTATGGGCTAAACACTGAGGGCACAAAGACAAAGTGAAATCACTTCTGCCTCCAAGGAGCTTCCATTCTGTTGGGGAAACACACACACACACACACACACACACACACACACAGTAAATACAAGGGGTATAGGAATCATTAACATATGGGAGGAATCAGGAAAGGCCTCATGTAGGAGATGCCACTTGATTCTGAGTTTTGGAGGAATCTAGAGATTCTAACACGGGGAGGTAAGAAAACTGATATCCAGAAAAGTGTAGTGATTTGTGCTGAAGTGGTAGATATGCCATTTGAACACAATTTATTCTGATTTCAGAGTCTGAGGTCTATCCACTACACCAGATGGCCTTTCTTTTAAGGTATGAATGTTTTCCTTGCTCTAGAAATGAATTTCTGCTTTTTTTCCTCCTAGAAGAAAGCCAAAAGGAAGAAGACAGTGCTAGAAATTCAACTGGCAGAGACTTTGAAAAATCAGGTCATAATGAGGCTAGTAATCCAGGCTAAAGCTGAAAGAGGAGGATCAACAGAGACAGAAAAGAGAGAGATGAAACCTGAATGATGATGATGATGATAACAACTGACATTTACATAGTATTTTAAAGTCAGCAAATTGCTTTATGTAAATTATCTCGTTTCAAATGAAAGGACGTTTGTCATGCTCCTAAGCTGTTTTTAAGCCTGTGTCTTATAAATCAGAAAGAGTGAAGTGCAGGATAGAGAGCCACTGTTAGATGTTGAAAACCTGGATCTGTCTTGTACGTAGTAATTGTGTGTCCCTAGTCAAGTCGTTTAACATCTTAGCGCTTTTGGCAACTAAGACTAAGTTGAAGATTTATGGTCTTCATTGGTATAGGGAATTTTCTCATCCTGGAATTCATTATACCAATAAAATTAATGGTTTTGATTCCTATTCCCTGTCTTATGAATCCATGTAACTTTTCCCTTGAATTCGAATTCTTCACAGCTCAGGTTCTTAAAAGGGAAATCTGATAATGCCTCTTGGGAAAGCAGACCAGTTAACCTCAGTCAAATTGAATGTGTCAGAATGGACCTAACTTCTCCTCATCTGTCATTTAGAACCTTCTGATATTTGCATTTGAAGGTAATTTTTTCCACCATAAAGTTTAGTTACCATGAGGATGATCTTTTTTCCAACATGTTATTAGATCTTTAGAGGAGTTTTGAGCTAAAATGTATTTTGAGTCACTCTCCTATCTTCATGAATGATCTTGGTCAATGTCTTTGTTTTTATTTTCTCTCATTTTAAAAATAATGATGGCAAAAACATGCACATATATACATATGTGTTTGTGTGTGTGTGTGTGTGTGTGTGTGTGTATGAAGAGAGAGAGAAAGAGAGAGATGGAGTGAGATAGAGATACCAACTGGGAAGTCTCCCTTTTTCCCTCCCACCAAGAAATACAATCAAATGGATGTCAGAAACTAGTTTATATATTTCATACAGAGAGAGAGAGAGAGAGAAAGAGAGAGAGAGAGAGAGAGAGAGAGAGAGAGAGAGAGAGAGAGAGAGAGACAGAGAGAGAGAGAGACAGAGAGAGACAGAGAGAGACAGAGAGAGAGAGAGAGAAGAGAGAAGAGAGTTGCTTAGACCCAAGAGAGATTGAGGCAATGTTTGAAGAATCAAAAACTTTATAATCAACACCATCAGCAAATCTGTCCTTTTCCATTTTAATCCCTGTGAAATCCAGTAGACAGCCCTCTAAACCAAGCACTCACCCAGTTTTACACAATTTTAGTCTATTTCTAATGATTTCCCTTTCAGGCCAAAGGCAGAAGGTGTGTCATTAGACATGTTTTAGTTAGACTTGTGTTTAGCAAGCACTTCAAGGAATTTGCCTCATTGAATTTCAATGTTGCTATTCTTCAAGATCAGCAGAGAAGAAAAAATGGCCCTTGATTTTCCACTCAGAAAGTCGAGGGTACTTTGCTCATCTCTTGTCTACTGCATCATTAATACATTTTCCAGTACCCTATCCACCCTCCTCTCTTTTTAAGACTTAAAACAACCACAATTCCTTTCAATACTTTGAATATTGCAAAGAGGTTTTGCTCACTGAGAGGTGGAAACAGATTGCTGTGCTCACAGTGGGCCCTGATGAATCCATGTTAGTTAGTTGATTTAAAGACAACCCTTGCTTAATACAACCAAGATCTAACACTCCCCTAAGTAAATATCCATTCAAGGATATCAAGGAGCATAGAACAGACCTCTAAGAATGGAAAAGACCTTAACGATTATCTAGTCCATTTGCAGATAAAATAGAAAAATGGAAGAGTGTTCAAAGACAAAATCTAACCCACATTTTCTTTAAAAAAACAAAACAGAAAAACAAACAAACAAAAAAAACCCAACAACTGATGTTGAAGGAAATAGATGGCAGTTAACTAAAAGGAAAGGTGCTCTTGAATTAGATTCCTAAAGCATTGCACAGGCCATAGAGAGCTGGCCTCAGCCCTGAGGTTCTGGATTTAAGTGTGACCTCTGATACAGACTGGCTGTGCAGAGAAGATGTTGAGGGACCTTGGAGTAGTAGGAAAAGAAGGCAAGACATCAAGACTTTTACCCTGTCATAGCTTTAATTCAAGCATAACTAATTAAAAACAAACGAAACCTTAATGCTGAGACTTTGCTAAGATTTTATCCTTCTGGCCTTTGCATTTTTGGACACCAAATACTTGTAACAGGAGTACTTCCCTTTGCCAAACACTAGGGGTAGCCAAGTGGCACTAGTGAATAGAGTACTGGGCCTGAAGTTAGGAAGCCTGGTCTTCTTGAGTTCAAAGACAGCCTCAGACACTTACTAGCTGTGTGAACCTGGGCAAATCACTTAACTCTGTTTGCCTCGGTTTCATCATCTGTAAAATGAACTGGAGACAGAAATGACAAACCATTCCAAGTATCACTATCCAAACCAAGAAAACCCCAAATGGGGTCACGAAGAGGAAGACGTGAGTGAAAAATGATATGACAAAAGATTCAGGTCTAGGGAATGAGGAGTTTTAATCTAGATATTTTAGGGATAATCTTCTTTGGCAAAGAACAGTCTATAGTCTGAGTTCATTGATTCTGTTTTCAAATAGCAGAAATTTGTTAACCCAGAAATAGTCTGCCCAGTCAGCCAGACCATAGTCACAAAGAAAGAGAGGCACACCTCTGTGACTGAAAATCCAAAGGTTGAACAATGGGGCGGGGGGGGGGGAAGTATATACACTGACATATAGCTATATGAGATGCAGGGGTTGCTGCTGTTCTTGCACATTCCTTAGTAGTTACCTTCCCCCCTCTTTAAGTTACTTGTGTGGGGCTAATTTTCATTCAAGCAGACACTTATGGGACCAGGGCAAACTGAAATCATTCTTTCCCTCCCCTTGTGTTACTGCCTGCCCTCAGATTTGAATTTTACTTAAAAACATAAATGCATATCTATATTTAATTTGCAAATTGACTTAAATGTCAGCATCAGGGGGATTTTTCTGGCATAGAAAATTTGCATCTAGGGATGCAAAAAATGAAAAAGGCATTCTGTTTATCCCACTCCTTTGCTGTTTTATACCTTACCTACCCCTGGTCCCAACTTGCTTTCTGTTATACTTGTTTTCTCTTTCCTCTACTCATTTACTCTATAAGACCTGCATAACCACCACTTGGATGGGTTTCTTTCTGATTTTCCATTTTATTTCCATCAAAGCTTTCTGTTGTTGTTGGTTTTTTGTTTGTTTGTTTTTTGGTGAGGCAATTGGGGCTAAGTGACTTGCCCAGGGTCACACAGCTAGTGACTATCATGTGCCTGAGATCGGATTTGAACTCAGGTCCTCCTGACTCCAGGGCCAGTGCTCTATCCACCGCGCCACCTAGCTGACCCCTATAGCTTTATTTTTCACTGAATCACCACGTATTTGCGGACCCTGTTTTTTGCCTTTCTTTGAATCTCTAGCACTTAAGTCAGTGCCTTAATGAATATTTGTTTGCTGACTCTTGTTACTCCTTTCTGCTGAGTTTGAATTGGCAAAGATTTCAACTTCTAGTTCATTAAAAAAAGAAGATGCAAATCATCATTGAAGTTCCACTGAATTCTGACTCAGTTTCCCACTCTGATAAAGAGTAGGACTGGATTCTGCACATTGCCTCTTGACTACTTCAAGTCTAAGAACAACTCAGAAGAAGCAGTAAGTAGGATTGCTTCCTGAAACTCAGGGTTGGATATCTACCTGCAATGTACTCTATGAATATTTGTCCTTTGAGAGAGTGATTTGAATGTAGTTTAACTGATGCAAAGAAGCCTTCCTGCCTATCTGTTCTTTTACCAGCCTACTTGTCAATAATGTTGTCTTTCAGCACGTTCCTTCCCACTCATCCTCAAACACTGTCTTGATCTTCCCTTCTTCCCTTCACCCCTCCCCCCCCCAGTGATGTATCTCTCTGGATGGCCTGGGAAAATGAGATTAGTGTGTTGAATTCTTTTCCTGAGGAAATCTTGGCTCAAATCAAAAAAGAAGGGGGTCCCAGGAGAAAGAGCCCTGTCTGAGATGAAGGTTCAGAGAGATGGGTTTGGAATCCTAGCTTTGCCAGGTGTGATCACTGAGGAAATTACTTATATTCCCAAGAGCTTTGATTTCGTCATCTGCAGAATAAGGGTGACTGTTTATGCCACTTAACAAAGTTGTTCAAATTAACATGCAAATCAACATTTAAATGTGATCTATTATTATTAATGCACTTTAGTATTTATCTATCTTAGTAACTAGGCAATGAAGGTATTGCCTGAGCATTACTCATAGCATCACACTTAGGGAGAGGTGGTTTCTGGGGTCTGAACTTGAGTTTCTATTGGTGTAAGGAAATACTGATATAGAGACTCCCTTTACCAATGTAGATCCACAACTGTTCTATAACTTAAAGACTTGAAAGCCACACAGCCAGTATGTGGGGCCAGTATGTCTCAGAGGACAGACTGGAGCCTAGATTCTCCTCTCTCTCTCTCTCTCTCTCTCTCTCTCTCTCTCTCTCTCTCTCTCTCCTCTCTCTCTCTCTCTCTCCCCCCTTCCCTTTTTCTCCCTCTCTTTCCTTCTCTCACTCCATTTCACAAATGCTTTCCACGTAATGTAGAACCTCCTACCCTTCACATTTCCCACCCAGCTGTTTTTTCTTTATAGCAGTTTCCCCTACAATTTGTCAAATTACCTACTCTGAGTACCAACTCCTGTTCTTTGAGCCCAAAAACCATCTTATTTTCTCCTCTTTCTCAGGGTGTTTGAGCATCACAGATGCCCCATTTCACATTCACAGTCCTTGTTATAGAGCCAGGCAACAATGATTGTCCTCTTTAAAGCCTGGTCCCTGTATTTGATCAATATTACTGTTTTTCTGAGGATTGAAGTATATGCCATGTGGACTATGAGATGAAGTGTTTTTGAGTGAATACAGATTATTGTAATCATCATACAGATTAATCCAAATGCAGGAGTTATTAACCTAAGGTCCATGAGCCTGTTTTAAAATACTTTGATAACTGCATTTCAATGTAATTGTAATTGTAAAGGCTTGCTTTACAATCCTATATCAAATGCATTTAAAACGTGATTATAAGAAGTCCACAAGCTTCACCTAACAGTCAAAGGGATCCGTGGCATACACACAAAAAAAGATTGAGAACTTCATGGTAGTGTTGGCACTTTAGAATGATAGTGACCTTATTGACCAGTTACATTAAATTGACCTGTTCTTGGACCTCAGAAATCTCCCTGTGATATGACAAACCTAATCTAATAAATACTGGTCTGGGAATCAGAGGCTATTATCAACATGTCTCATAGTATAATT